AAAAATGCAAGTTTTCTCCCTTGGAAATTATAAACCAAAACAAAATAAAACCAAATCAAACAGAAAGAGAGAAAGAAAATAAACAAGATGTGTTTGTGAAACACTGATGCCCCCGTATGGCAGCTTATGGCGAAGGTTAAAGTTTCTCAAATGCAAGTCAAAATCCAGGCCAAAAGATAAAAAATGTTAAATTTGAAAGCCCTAGCACCAAGCATTCAAAAGTTATGGCCAAGGTTAAAGTTTTTCGAAAGTAGGTCAAACTCCTATGTCAAGGTCAAAGGGTCAAAGTGGTTGGTATCCAAAGAGAGGTCTTGTCACAAGGATTACATACGTGAAGAATGAAAGCCCTAGCACCAACCATTCAAAAATTATGGTCAAGAATAAAGTTTTTCAAAAGTAGGTCAAACTCCTATGTCAATGTCAAAGGGTCAAACTGGTTGGTATCCAAAGGAAGGTCTTGTCACAAGGATTACATATATGAAGTATGAAAGCCCTAGCTCTAAACGTTCAAAAGTTATGGCCAAGGTTAAAGTTTTTCAAAAGTAGGTCAAACTCCTAGGTCAAGGTCAAAGGGTCAAAGAGGTTGATATCCAGAGGAAGGTCTTGTCACAAGGAATAAGCATGTGAAGTTTGAAACCCCAAGCACCAACTGTTCAAAAGTTATGGCCAAGGTTAAAGTTTTTCAAAAGTAGGTCAAACTCCTAGGTCAAGGTCAAAAGGTCAAAGTTGTTGGTATCCAAAGGAAGGCCTTGTAACAAAGAATACACATGTGAAGTTTGAAACCCCAAGCACCAACTGTTCAAAAGCTATGGCCAAGGTTAAAGTTTTTCAAAAGTAGGTCAAACTCCAAGGTCAAGGTCAAAAGGTCAAAGTTGTTGGTATCCAAAGGAAGGCCTTGTAACATATAATACACATGTGAAGTTTGAAACCCCAAGCACCAACTGTTCAGAAGTTATGGCCAAGGTTAAAGTCGCATAAAATTTTGCAAAAGTTGGTCAAACTCCAAGGTCAAGGTCAAAAGGTCATATATGATGATACCCAAAGAAAGGTCTTGTCACAAGGAATACACAAGTGAAATATGAAAGTCATAGCTCCAACCAATCAAAAGTTATGGGCAAGGTTAAAGTTGACAACAGACAGACAGACAAACAGATAAACAAACAGACAAACAGATAAACAGATAAACAGACAAACAGATAAACAGACAAACAGACAGACAGGACAAAAACAATATACCCCCGGGATCTTTCGATCCGGGGGCATAAAAAAACAATATACCCCTGGGATCTTTCGATCCGGGGGCATAAAAATGAAATATTAGTTTAAAAATATGGAAGCAGAAATATTAGAATCTTTTAAGTACAAAATGAAAGTAGATTTTTTTTAAAAATATATTCTAACTTGTGTAATTATGACAATTTTTGTCATTGTTAATTTCAAATAGTGTTATCGAAGCCTTGAACTTTTTTCCTTAATGTGCATATTGAAAGTCAAGCTACACTGTACGTGTTCACTCTATTAGAAGTCATGACCCACGATATAAATTACTGTAGGTGATTTTTTTCTTACGACAATGAAAGTTAATATACCCAACATGCTAGAATTAATGATATTGGATAATAATTAATATTTTTGTAGTGTGCTTTCTAAATTTTAGATATATTTTTTATGGGATTGGATTTAAGAATGTATCTATAAGTATTGCAGTTTTAATCTTAATTGGGGGGGGGGGGGGGGGAGGGGGAGGGGAGGAGGGCTATATATTATTTATTTATTATAAAATTCCGATAGAAGATTAAGATATGCACAAGATTTTAAATTTATGACTGTAATGATAAGAGTCAGATGTGAAACATCATTCCTTTGTAAAGGTATTTCAGGCGCGAAATCAGTAGGAATATTTAATTAAGAAATAATTCCCGTGTCTGAGGAATTGTTGGAGAATATACTCTGATAGTCTTGAGATTTTGTTGGCTAAAAAAAACTGAGCCCAAAGGGGGAGGTTTTTATTTGCCATCAAAATCTCGAGACTGAGGGGTATATTCTCCAACATTTCCTCCGATGAGGGAATTATTTCTATTCTACTACAGCGAATATTTTAACTTCTACATAGAGAAATGTAAGCGCTAGATTTGGACATCATCAAAAGTGTCTTATAAAGTCACAATTGAATGCTATCCTCCTTTATTTGTATCTCAAGGATAAGAAAGAGTACGATATAATTCGAACCCAAAGTAATATTTTTCCCACCAATTTATGTCACAATCAAAAGATACCCCTATCCTTTTCCTAGTAAAGGAACAGCAATAAATAGAATAATGATCCTTGGTTTAGTCTCTTTTTGTGGCAAAATTTATTGCAATCAGGCTAAAACTGTAAGAGGAGTAGCCTTTTAAAACAATTTTACAGAAATTTCAATTTAAGTAACCATGGCAACATAATTTAACAAAATCAAACAAGATGTGTTTGTGAAACACTGATGCCCCCGTATGGCAGCTTATGGCGAAGGTTAAAGTTTCTCAAATGCAAGTCAAAATCCAGGCCAAAAGATAAAAAATGTTAAATTTGAAAGCCCTAGCTGCAACTGTTCAAAAGTTATGGCGAAGGTTAAAGTTTTTTAAAAGTAAGTAAAACATCAAGGTCAAGGTCAAAGTGGTTGGTATCCAAAGGAAGGTGATGTCACAAGGATTACATATGTGAAGTATGAAAGCCCTAGCACCAACCATTCAAAAATTATGGCCAAGGTTAAAGTTTTTCAAAAGTAGGTCAAACTCCTAGGTCAAGGTCAAAAGGTCAGAGTGATTGGTATCCAAAGGAAGGTCTTGTCACAATGAATACACATGTGAAGTATGAAAGCCCCAGCTCTAAACGTTCAAAAGTTATGGCCAAGGTTAAAGTTTTTCAAAAGTAGGTCAAACTCCTAGGTCAAGGTCAAAAGGTCAAAGAGGTTGATATCAAGAGGAAGGTCTTGTCACAATGAATACACATGTGAAGTTTGAAACCCCAATCACCAACTGTTCAAAAGCTATGGCCAAGGTTAAAGTTTTTCAAAAGTAGGTCAAACTCCAAGGTCAAGGTCAAAAGGTCAAAGTTGTTGGTATCCAAAGGAAGGTCTTGTAACAAAGAATACACATGTGAAGTTTGAAACCTCAAGCCCCAACTGTTCAGAAGTTATGGCCAAGGTTAAAGTCTCATAAAATTTTGCAAAAGTGGGTCAAACTTCAAGGTCAAGGTCAAAAGGTCAAATATGATGGTACCCAAAGAAAGGTCTTGTCACAAGGAATACACAAGTGAAATATAAAAGTCATAGCTCCAACCAATCAAAAGTTATGGGCAAGGTTAAAGTTGACAACAGACAGACAGACAAACAGACAGACAGGACAAAAACAATATACCCCTAGGATCTTTTGATCCGGGGGCAGAAAACAATAATGACAATTATTTATCTCAGTGTAGTCTACTTGTATGCCAAGTTATACTGAAATCAGCCAAAAAGTGTAGGAGGAGTAGCGTTTTGAAAGTATTTCAAGAAAATTTCTATTTTAAGCAACCATGGCAACACTATTCATCGAAATCCAAAACTGGTAGAGAGAATTATGTATCTTAGTGTAGTCTACTTGTGTGCCAAGTTATACAGAAATCAGACCAAAACTGTAGGAGGAGTAGGATTTTGAAAGTATTTCAAGGAAATTTTTATTTTTAGTAACCATGGCAACACCGTTCATTGAAATCAAAAAACCGATAAATAGAATTATGTGTCTCATTATAGCCTACCTGTGTGCCAAGTAATATTGAAATCAGATTAAAACTGTAGGAGGAGTAGCGTTTTGAAAGTATTTCACAGAAATTTCTATTTTAAGTAACCATGGCAACAACATTCATTGAAATCAAAAACCGATATACAAAATTATGTATCTTAGTGTAGTTTAGTTAAGTGCCAAGTTATACTGAAATCAGACAAAAACTGTAGGAGGAGTAGCGTTTTGAAAAATTGTTTACAGAAGGACAGACAGCTAGACAGACAGATGGATGGACACCTTACTTTACATAAGCTCTTCTGATCTCTGACTAGTAGAGCTAAAAATGCACAGAAGGGAAAGGAAGGCCATGTCTGGTATAAAATCACTGTCAAGCAGAAATGAATTGGCTTACATGGCCAAAAAGAGAAAAAAGCTTCTCTGTGTGTGTAAACTTTGCAGTGTGCATCTATGCAGAGTGGGTCTTTCACATTTAAAGTAGACAAAGAAACATTTTTTTTTGACTGTAAAATGATCAAACTCTTTTGTCATGCGTGCATACACTAATTCTTGATGTAAAAATACAAAGTTGGACTTAAAGTACCTGGTAGTCAAAAATCAAAAACTGATACTTAGAATTATGTATCTTAACAGACTTGTATCTTAGCAGACTTGTCAAAAACTGTCAGATCTGTCAGCAAGGTCAGTAAAATTTGTCTGGATCAATAACTTTCTAGAAAATGTCGGTCCAAATGACAGTTGGAAAAAATTGAGTACGACACAAATTTTAAAAAGATCGTGATCGAGGTGCGCAGGTGAAGGTCACAAAAACACAAGACGTGCCCATGTGGTGACGATAATCAATTAAATTTGTTAAAGCAAAGACACAAAACATGTCATTTATGTCTCTGATTGAAGACTCTCTCTCCTAAGAAAAGAAACTTGTGTGATTGAAGGTGCTGGTCAATGGTAAGTGATACTATGCAGTGTATACCTGGCTGCAGGTAGGACTGCGATGCACTAACTGCAGGGGTGTATCGCAGTAGGGGTTAACACACCTTGGGGGAGCCTGGTTCAATACATAATCTGCATTGCCCTTGGCATTGCCCGTACTGTGTGTCAAAGTGATTTTGAAGTCCCAAAAACTTTTTCTTTATGTATTTTATCCTCGATATATTGAATCCTCAGATATCTCGAAGATTTTTCTCAGTCCCATTGAGTTTGAGATAATGATGTTTAACTGTAAGTTATTTCTGTTCATACCTTTAACCTATCAACAGGGTCTTCACATGTACAGGCCTTTTCTAGTAGCTCTGAATATTCCAAATACTCTGTAATTCTCTGTAGAAAGCTGATTGGTTCATTAAATACAACTGGCATAGTTATCTTGGACAACTCCTAAAATTCAAAAAACAAAAAATGTCAGACTTAATTGTTTAAAACACATTATGATTTTTTTTTTAATCTGCATCAAATTTATTGATGACATAGTCAGACAGCCCCTCACAACTGATGCCTGGTTGATTTTTATTCTGCATAAAATTAGATTTATTGATGACATAATCAGACAGGTTTTGAAACAACTCCTCACAACTGATGCCTGGTAGATCATATAACTTATATCGAATTTGGTCATGAAAGCCAGGCTTTTATATACAAACACATTTGGCAGTTAGCATTAACACAATACAGTTTGAGGGATATATCAATACTTTTTAAATCAATTGGCATAAACTCCCTAGCCTAAATCTACAGTAAGTAACTTTATCATAATACAGGATAATTTTGACCTAAACATGAATAGCAGTGTCAACAAAATGTCCTCCTAAGACTTAATGTTACATCATGCCAGAATTAAAATTTTCACCAAAACACCGATTGGAGTTCAAAATGACTTTAATCTGTTTATCTGTCCTCAAAATTAAATTATTTGACAAGAATCAATGTCAGCTGGCTTTTCAGTTCTTCCATCTTGCACCATGCCTTTTCTTTAACCAAACTTGCTGATATAATGGCAAATCATGAAGCATGATTGATTGATTGTATGTTGTTTTACGTCTCATTCAAGAATTTTTCACTCATATAGGGATGTCACCATATACCTGTAAAGGGCTTCAAATTTTGACCTTTACTCGGCACTCAAGGCCATTGAGCAGTGAAGGATCTTTATCGTGCCAACGTCTGCCATGACACCAGGCCTCAGTTTTTAAGGTCTCATCTGAAGGACCTGCAACTTTCACTTCAAAGTGCCGAGCGCATGGCAAAGGAACAGCTGCTACCATTTTTTATTGACTTAGGTCAGTCACAGCCGAGCCGAGATTCGAACTCACGACCTCCCTATCACGGAGCAAGCGCTCTACCAACTGAGCTACCGTGAACGGTTGAAATCATGAAGTATAAACTCATATAACCATAATTGATGGACTATAGATTGATGCTTTAAATAGGTTAATGCCACACCTTACCCCGCACATTATTGCACATTTATATTCCTCTATAACATGAGGTCTAAGCACTGGCACATTGTCATATTGAAAAAAAGAGTAGTTTGCAGGGAAAATGTAGGGCAATAACAGGCCACTGGTGATTGTCAAGGATGTTTATATATTTCTCGGCATTAATGTTACCTTGTATCTTGCATAAAGTCCTGTGATCCCCATATCATAAGGGCTGCGCAATAATATGATATTCTGGTATATTGCAATTCATTAACAAATAATATCGTATTGTGATACGTTTTTCCAGTATAGATATACAAGTAAACTGCTTGGCTTTAGATTTCTTAAGTAAAGTATGAAATTTAATATGTGAAAACGTTTTCAATTGTGCCATACAGTACCAAACCAGAAACTTTTGCACTCCGGATGGTACAATTCCTGGGCTTGAGATCTCACTGTCCATTTTCTTTCAAATCTATAATATTATAAGTTGTTTATGTAAAGGAGAAAGGCCAAAAACTGTCCATTCTGTGAGAGAAAGAGCTAATCTAGGGCTATAGGCCTGAGATTTGTTCTTTCTCTCACAGAATGGACAGTTTGAATGGGTGGGGGGGGGGAGGGGTCTGAGTATAGTATTATGCTATAGTAAATTTTCCTTTAGATTCTGGTTCCCCCCCTTTTTTTTTGATGTTGTAAGGTTGAGTACTGGCAAATTGTAGGATTTGTACAGTAAATTAGTTTTTTTTTTTTTTTTTGCTTATCGGGTTTTTTGGGAAGTTGCCCCTCCCCCCTCCCCCCCCCCCCCCACTTTTGAAACTGTTGCTATGGGCCTGGCAAAATAAGAAAAGGTCTTTGTCTAAAGAATGGACAGTTACAGGTGGATTTGGGGGAATTCCAGTATTTATACATGATTGCAATGCTTCAAAATCAGTTTATAGTTTGCATTGTAAAGGCATACATGTTTTCCTTCAATGAAGAAAGTATATGACAGAATGAAAATCTGATGAAACAAAAGATGCACAAAATCAGTGGTACAACACACCCACCACCAAAAAAATCCCGTCGTTTAATTTTCGCTATTTTTGTATATTTTATACATGACTATATATACAATGCGTATGCACATTTTGGACAAAATCGTTCGAGTCGTATTTAGACAGGAAGTTCCAAAGGTTATCCCCTTTGGTTGTTCATGCAGAGAATAAATTTTCAATCGGCTAGCTATAAAATTTTTCATTTTCAAAAAAGTCCAGCTAGTCTGGCTGTCAAATTTCATCGACTTATTCATTTTACCATTAACCACACAAATAAAGTATTTTTATAGAGGTACACATCGCCAAAATATTTTTTGAAGAACTTAAACTGAAAAACTATGGTTCATTTAAGCCTTGAAAAATGCATATTTTTCAATTTTAATATTTTTTTTACAGAAAAACCTATTTTGGAAATTTTGGAAAAAAATACTTTTTTCATGTAACTGGTTACAAAAGTAATCTTGATAATTTTTTGTAATTTTTTTAAACAAGCCGTTTTTAATTTTTAGCGAAAAATCACTCCCCCCCCCATCTCCTTAAGTCACGTTTCTCAAGCATCTTTCAGACGTGTACGAAAACATTGTTAGATCTATAAATACACCTGAAAAATTCCAAGCTAGAAAATATCTTTTGCTTTAAAAAAAAATTATTTACATAATATATCAGAGTTCTTAAAACTTTTCAGTTCATTGAAATGCAGATGTATAGGCAATTTTTGACGACCCCCCCCCCCTTTTTTTTTAACGCAGTCAAACATATGTTACCCTAGAGATATATATTTAATCTTTTAAATCCCTGAAGTACCAATTAATTAATTCATTCATGCAGATTTAAATTCTGACAACTAGAAAAAGAGTTAAACTATCAACTACTAGAATAAAAGTAAAACTTATTCTCTAAGGATTTTATGTCCACATGTCCAATATGTAGTCCATACACATGGCTGACATGCATTTAATTTTACACCCGCGTATGAATTTAACTTACATTGAATTTTAATCTTAATTTTCATTAAAAGTGAACGCACAATGTTGAAAATTCAACTCTTCTATTCTGTAAACAGGCTGGTAAATGGAATATACTGTTTCCTTTTTTATTTCAAACAAGAGAGGGGTCTAAAAGTACCCCCCCACCCACCCCCCACCCCTTGTATGCATCCTTCTGTTGCTTCTATAGATAAAATGGAAATTTCGTATTCATCTACATTAACTTTAATTTATCAAACTGTAAATTTTCCATCTATGTTTAAATTATTCATGTTTAAAAATATTCATGTACAGTGATACACGTATAAAACGTTTTGTTATGATTCAAGGAAATGTGTACTGAAATTGTTGACAGTGGTATATCTAGATGGTCGGATAGGGCCAGTTTGTCACATATAAGATATTCGTGAATTCGGGCCAATTGAGTAAACAATTCTGTTACATTTTCAGTACTTACTTAGTATATATTATAGTTTTCAGTTCCTGCATTCATCAGAATTCATTGTGTCTTCATAACTGTTCAACAAACAGGAGGAAATAACTCAACTAGGGGAGGGGGAAAATCTCCCACCTTTTTAGAGTTGTTCCTCTTTGATCAGTGAACTTTTGGAAACGGGTTGTAAAACATTTTTTTTCTTAAAAGGAGAACAAAACAGTATTTATATGGCTATAATTCTTAATTTGATAATAGGCCTGTGATCTGGTAATGCGAATGTTACATAGCCAACTGTAACAAAAGAAAGCTATGTATCATAAAAAGATAAAGAATATTGTTCTGCTAATATTGATCACGGATATGAGTTTGATATAAAATTAGAGAAATTTAAGACATAATCTTTCTTTTCTTCCCTTTTTTATGGAGGAGAGCGGGTTTTAAATCAAAAGCGTAAATAATCAAGGATACAATTTGGTATTTCTAAAGAAACCACATCAAGCCCCTTATCCCATTTTCTTATAATTACGTCGGGATCGATTCGGTCGTCATTTGGACGCTTATTTTAAACGTCAAATTTGACGTCAAGTTAAACGTTTAATTGAAATAGCAAGAGTTATCTCCCCCAGTGTGTTGTACGTCTTTAAATTCAAGCTTTAAATATAATTGAGTGAAAATTGAGTTTTGAGTATTGAAGTAATGTGCATCATTCATGGATTTAAGTGTAAAATTGAGCAGGTACTGTGCAAACATTGTGTTCTGGATTAACTTAGATCTTCACATTCTTTTTTGTTATTTGCATGTAAATTAAATCGTATATATAATGTATTTGTTTTAAACAGTTTTCCTCTTGGGCACATTTGAAATTGCGAAATTTTAGGGAAAATAATTATTTTAATATTTGGACCACTCCTGATCAAAATTAAACTGATCCCAATCAAAATTAACACAGAATAAATAAAATAATTCACTGCCTTCTTTTTGTATTTACCTTTAAGAAATCTATTTGATTATCAAGTTCAATTACTTTTTAACTGTATTACATCTAAACAAACTAGTATTCTTGTGAAAATGTTATCCATTTCCAATTATTACAAAATTCTGGTTGGGATCAGTTTAATTTCGATCAGGATTGGCCAAAATTTTAAAAATTAATTTCTCAAAGATTTCGCAATTTCATTTCAATTTCTTTTTAAAATATAGCTAACATATTCTCCCTAGTTGTGACTAGTTTTATGAAGATTTTAACCATAGGTTTAAAAAATATTCACAAATTATGTGTTTTATTTTCATACATCATATTTTATTTAAAAAATTAAAATGTCTATCCAGCCTTTCTTAACATATTTTATTAGACATTCATATTATGCATTTATTAACAGCAAATTTTTAACCCTAAAGCATCTTATTAGCAAATAGAACATTTTTTTCATTTTCTATGAAAAATAAAAAAATTCTTATTAGATAATTAAGAGCTAATATTGGCCTTTTAATGTTGAATCCACTACTTATCATGGATGTCTTACCTTGCCTATACACTGTTTCAGAATTGTCCATACACTGAAGTCATTTCTGTCAAACATAGGTACAGGTAACTTGGTCCTGTATAAAAATATGTACAGATGATAAGTAATGATATTCATTCAGCCAGTAAAAGTCATTTTACCAGTAACACACACACACACACACAAACACAGCCAGCACTGGAAAACCAACAACACTGTATATCTTTATGTGTGGGGTCTATAAAGGATACCCACTCCTCAGTCAGACAGGATAACTCTTAAAATTAATATTTAATTAAAATAGTCTCAAAAGGAAGTTAAAAATTGAATTCTTTTCATGCTACAATTTTCATTTTACGCATCTCAATATGATTCAAGGTTCTTTGAAGTCTTAGAAACAGTATTGTAAGGCAAAGAAAAATTATGCATAGTTTCTCAGGCCGAAAATTCCAAAATTCAATGCGGCAGGCAGGTTCTTTTTTTTTGGAAGCAGGGTGTTATACCTTTTTTTCATGTCAGTTGTTCAACAAAATGATGATATCAACAGATTCTTACTTTTTTTGTTCTCTTAAATTAATTATATTATGTATTCAACTTTAAATAATGTTATTCCAAACATATGTTTAAAAGTTAATTCATAAAATACTGTATTAACCCTAGTAGTGCTGAACCCGGAATATTCCAGTAAACAAAGCCATGTGCTGTGAGCTGACCCCAGAATATTCCGGGTGACAACAATGATATTTTTAAACCGCTATTTTAAGCAGCCAATGGAAATTTTGTCTAATAAATTTTGGTATTAGGTTTGAATGAATAAAACATTCCATTTCTTAGATGAAATATATGGAGATATTAACGAACAGTAATCAAGCTCAAAAGTCCATTAAACAATACAAAATAGGAGCAGAGCAAAAACGGACCTCTAAAACATCAGAGGTGGGATCAGGTGCCATGGAGGAGTGAGCATCCCCTGCCGACCAGTCACACTCGCCGTGTGCTCCTTGTCATGATCGGGAAATAACGGAAAAATCTGTCAACGATTCAGTTTGTCAATAATGGCCTAACAATTAGTATGAAAAACGTCGGTCAGCATTTGACTCAATGATCAATTGTATTTGCTGACAAGGTCAATGTATCAACCATAGAACTTACGAAATGATGACTTTAAATGAGACTGCTGTTATTCTTGTTTCATCAACTTGTTTGTAAATAATGTACAATAATAGATGAAATGTGATTAGTTGTGTAAATTTAGACAGGTAAAAAGGTCTTGTTTATTTCGCGTGATTCAAAATGGTGGCGTATTCAAGAACACATTTTTAGACGGTGGTTATTTATAGCCACAGGCTATTGCTGCTGGTCTGGGCGATGAATAAACAACAGTGTAAAATCACGGGGACCCTAGCGGCGATTTTTGCAGAGACAAAATAATGAAAGTCGGGTCGTTTCGACGTTCGAAAATAAAATGTGCATGGTTCTCAGGTTATTTCAATGACATTTTGTTGATGGGTGCAAAGTTTAATTCCTGATATTTGCCGATATAATATTTCTCGCCTCATGAATATTCATTAAATTACGCCGACTTAATGTTAATTCGTACAAAAACTGATTCGTATATAAGGAGTCAATTCGTATGCAAACCACAGAAGTCAATTCGTACATAAAGTTTGCTGAACATGAAACAAATGCAAAAAGTCAGTTCGTACACACGGCCTTTTTTACGTTGTGTAAATGTAAAATTTCAATAAAATTTATTAAAAGTAAAAAAAAATCTGGGGGAAAAATATTTACGGATAATGGTTTCACATTACACCTTACCATCTTCGGAAATAAAATAATTATTATTAAACCAACACACTCTCGGCGGTTTCTTCGGATGTGTGACAAACGCTCATTACGAGATGTTCCCAATTTGGTATTCCCTAATTACGGGATACTCCATGCTTGGAAAGCGTCGATCCCCAAATTTTTCCATTTCCAAAAATTCAGTTAACACGATTCGAGGACTGCGTATTCCTTGTTGCAGAACTGCATGAAATTTATTAACGCACAAAATTAAACTAAAATTATCTCCTTCATTCAAACATATTTTAAAAAAAGAATTGAACTAAAGGAATCAGTCTACATAAAAAATTTAGCATGTTTTATTTCATAAATTTGACGATCAACATTTCAATTGACCAACACGCGAAGTTAAACTATGTCTTAGGAAAACATTTACAGGTAATATACAGGTAACATCCTGTGTATATAGGTAGGTATACACAAGCCAGCTTGATTCCTTCGGGGCTACACAGCCGTTTCAATTAAGCTCCACCCCACACCAAACTTACCTGAGGAAAACCGACCGGTTGAAAACCTCAGCCTTTAAATGTTTTATTTGAGACGTTTTGTGGAATTTTTATACAATAATACTTATACAGTTTATTGAAATTTTACGTGTATTTTGATTATTTGAATTTCTAGTATCTGTTGACGATACTATATTAGAAAAAGATATATATTTGGAATGGAAATGAAAATCACGTCCTCTTAAAGTTTACATAAAAGAGAGTTGTTGAAGGCAGATACGATGCCATTTTGCAAAGTTTATTACGGTTCTATCTAAAAACAAAAGTCATTGCCTAATTATCTCGGACACAAAAACTACTGAAAGGATGCTAATTTATCAAAGCTATAATTATAAGGCTGTGACGAACAAAAGTTACCCATATATTTCATTTGTATTTGAAAATTCTATCGTGCCTCGAATAAAATTTACCCTTTAAAAAGTGTAAGAAAAAAGCTACACAAATACATGTACATGAAATATTAGGATTTTCTTGCGAATTCAGTTGACTTAATATAGAGCAGTCTTCTCCTACATGTGTTTTCAAAACTTCGTATTACGCAATGACTAGCGGGGTCAGTGCATATTAAGATATTAAGAGAAATAGAGGGTGAAAGATATTTTGTTATTCTGTTCTTCTTCTTTTTTCTTTTTTTTTGAACAGTATATATATATCAAACAAAAAGGTAAAACTACTGTACAATTCTCGAAGTCTTTCAACCTTACAGAAAAAAGTAAATTACTTGAAATTTGGCAAAATTAGGGATCCAACGATAAAGTCTATTTCATTATCTTTCAGCATATGATTTATGTCGCACAATCTACAGTACAATGCCAAAAGTGACTCATCATTTTCCTTTTTACCATATATTTTAAGAAAAGTTAGTTTTTGTTTAAAAAAATATTGTGAGTTCAATTTTATTCCAGATTAGCAAAATTTGATAATTAACCACTGAGTATAAGATTTTAAATTATAAAATCACAATTTCTAACTTCAAAACACCACGATTTCATGACATTTTTTGTTGTAAAATTTAACTTTTTCATTTGATACTTGATATCGCTAAAATGCATGCTGATAAGATTATTTTCAAATTACGCGAAGAAAGTACAATGAATTCGGAATTTACTGATACTCGCTCATATCTGCAACTCACTATAGGTTTATTAATTGTTCATCAAATATCTCAAACACATTTCTGCTAAAAAAAAATGCACATCGAACTTGGAAGAGCGCCTAAGTGGAACCACACATGCATGTATAGAAAGCTATCTTAAAATAAATATGTTCAGTCACCACATGAATACATTAGAACCTTTGATTCCTTTAATTTAACGTTTAGGGTAAAATGAATTGTTTTAAGGATTAATTAATGAAAAAAAAAGAAGATTGAAACAATCAAGCTTTCGTTTCTGGCATTTCAGTGCATTTTTTTTCTTCCAACATTATTTCATAATAGAACTAAATAAATGTAGAAAATTTCATGCAATAAATTGTTTAACAACTTCAATTAATACATGTCCTCATCATACTGACGCAAATACGTGTATTGTGAAAAATTGCAACAAACTTTCATAATTTCCATATCATTTTACAGATTCTCATATCATTTTATTTAATTTAATTCATTCATGCCAGTGGCCAGTAATTAGAGCGTTTGCTCTAGAGTCAAGGAGTAAGGAGTCGATCCTTAAGTCGTGGGTTCGAATCCCACTGCGGGACGTGGAGACCAGTCCTTCCGATGAGACCGTTAAACTGAGGTCCCGTGTCGCAGTAAGTGCTTGCCAGAAAAAAAGATCCCTCACTGCACAATGGCCCTGAGTGCTGAGTATAGATATAAAATTTGCAGCCCACCAATGGCAATGGTTGCGTCTCATTATGAGTGAAAAATTCCTGAGAGGGACGTTTTAATTACGCCTGCGAGATGATATTCATGACTTAAAGAACTTTTATGAGTTGTTCATCATTGTTCATGAATGCTCATAAAAGATTCATAATAGTTTCATAAAAGTAGTTCATGAATTTAATTCATGAACACATTCATACTGAAAAAAATTTATACTTCATGAACAATGATGAACCTTTATGAAATTCGAAAATCTTCAACATTACACAGCAACACAAGTTTCATGATTATTCATGATTATTCATGACTCAATACAATTTAAATTTTACAATGATTCAAAGAACTGGGTACGTTAAGTATAACAGAGCGGCCCTGTCTCCAAATTTGATTTCAGTTTTTTAAAAACATGCCTACGATGTGTCCTTTCAAAATCATTTTATTTTTTTTAATTATCACAAACCGTTTTTCCGTCAGAGGTCTCGAAAAATGGGGAGTTTTCTTTAGAAATTACAATTTTTGACGTGATTACGTCATCACGGCGTTACTGACTTTTAACGTTACGTTAAAAGAAATCTGTAAATTCTCTGAACTGGAAACTAATACTTTAATATGCCTTATGTTCCAGAAAACAATTTTGAACTTTTATTTCAATTTATCGTAATGTATCTTTGATATAGCTGGAAGGAGTATAATAATTTAAAGGAAAATATAATTTTATTACAAACGATTTCATCAGACAAGTAATGAAGGTTGATTCATCCATACAGACGAGACAAGGTAGTACTTCTTTCAAAATTGCGCTCGTATCAGATTTATCATTTTTTATGTAAAAATTTCCTAATGATTTCTTCAACCATTTACCGCATTGTCTATGAAGTTACATTAAAAATTTTAAAGATACATGAATCAATTAAAAAGAAA